ATTCTTTCTGTTCTCCTAAAGTTAAGTCTGCTGGGGGGAGGAGTTAGCAGAGCAGATTGCAATTATCCAAATTAGAATTTAGCCATGACTTGGAGAGAACACTCCAGCTCTTGCTGAAAATATCATGGCATCTTTAAAGACCAAACGTAGAAGCCCAGTTTATTACTCATGCAAACCACTTTATCTCAAGCAGCTCAGTGCAATCTAACAGGCAGCGGAATTGGTTCTGCAAAGACTGAGAGAACAATGTCAATTGCTGAGTCACCAATGTGACCTCTGACAGCACCCTGCTTTTTCCTTGGAAGTCTCTCATTCAAGCCCTGACACTACTTTTCCGACATCTCACAAGCATCCCCACCCTAGATAGCATGATAATAGAAAGACATCTGAGCTAGCCCATCGATTGCTTTGAATACACTGGGAGGATAAGACTAATGTTCCCTGCTTCAGTTATAACTAAAAGACAGCACCAACCCTGTCAGTCAGGGAGTCTGGCTCTGCCCTCTCTGGACATTTGCCAGTGACAGTGCTTCCAAAGCTGAACAATGTGCTCCTACCTGTACTTGAATATCATGCAGGACTTGCTAAGAATTTCCCTGCAGAACATAAAGGGGGGAGGGGGAAGGGGAAAGATTGAAAATCAAGTTCAATACATTTGTTTTTTTCCAGTTTAGGGAGGGTTGGGGCAAAACAGGGAGGGAAAAAAAAGTGGCTGATCTAGCTGAAAACACAAAATTACACCCAGTGGGGACAAACATTATGAGTCAACATGAGCATCAGACCACCATTAGAGGCAGCCCACGCAGCTTGGTTAAGAACCCATTTCCCATCAGTGCCAGCATTGTACTGCAAAGTATGTTCAGCAGTGAAGGGAAAGGGCTCTGATTATTACCTACTGGTATCATGCTGTGCACACAACACTTGAAACTTGTTTATCAGCGACTTCCCCCTGGATGCCTAAAGTAGTGGAAACCACACCGTTAGCAGCAACTGAACCACAGACAGGCATCTCACAGGAAGGAAGCTACCTGTTAAACAGCTAATGGCTACCTCATGCTCGCTTTCTTGGATTCCTTCCTTAGATCAATAATCAAGAAAAAGGATGTTTTTACTTCTCATGACTCTGGAGTCCTTTTCTTGAATTACCAGGAATATTTCCTTATATTTGTAGCAAATCATGCAAAAGGTGGTAAGACTTACTCCAAAGCATTTACAGGGTGTTTCTTTGATACCCACCCCCTCTTCCTCCCCACAAATGTCTTAGCTTGACCGGATTACCCAAGAGTATTTTTGACAGTACCCTCCTGTGTCTATCTGGTTGTAGGCACAACAACCTTTGAGTCATGCACTAGGGGTCTTCTTCACCACACTTCCTGCAGCTGTTTCATGCTGAAGTATTTCTAGCCTGTATCTGTCACTTTAATATGAAGGAAACCTTTAACCATAATTCTCCTTTTTACAAGCCATGTGAGCACTCACTGCCATGTCAGAGACCCACTGAAAACCATCTACTATATTTACGGAAGATTTAGCTTTATTTCTGGTGTGGCCAAAAAAGCGACGTGTGGACTAATTAGTGCTATAGGATAACATCTGTCTTTCACCGTGGAAAGTCCAAGTTTAAATGTGGGATAGATCACTACTGAAATTAGTTAAGTCATCTCAGCATGAGCAGATATTTATATCTAGTTCTTTAAATTATACTACAGTTATCCAGCACATTTGTCATCCACTAATTAAAACTAATACTCTGCATTTAAATAGGTCTCACTGGACTTCATTTTTTAAAAGAAAAGTTCGCAATTTGAAATGGCGTTTAGTGCTAAAAACTTGATATGTCAAAAGAAGAGAAAGTTTGAAGGTCCCATTTCCACTATACAGGTCTTGAGAGGAGTGCACTCGGGAACACGAAACACTAAAGATCTAACTGACGCCTCAAGCAGAAAGAGAAAATAGAAACAAGTTATTAGACATTTGCTTAGGAGTTCAAGTAACTGAGCAGATGAGAACCATTTTGCCAGCTGCTAATTAGTTTAGCACACCTTGGATACAAAATATGAAACTAAAATAGGACTGGGGAGGGGATTTTTTGTTTCATTCAAAACACACAAAACGCTAACTGAATGTCTTTTACATGGCTGAAGAGTTTAAGTTTTCTGGGGATTTGCACCATAGACTATTACATGTGCCTCTTTCTTTTAACTACAAATAGGAGCAGGACAGAAGGATGGTCAGTCTTATCGTTCAGACATTGGACTAGAACACAGGAGATCAGTGTTTAATTCCCAGCTCTGCTGTGATCTTCCTGTATGACCTCAAACAAGTCCCTTAAGGCCAGATTTTCACAGGTATTTAGACACCTAAGATTCAGATAGTGTCCAGTGGGATTTTCAGAAGCATGCTGAAGCAGCTTTGAAAATCTGGGCCCTAGTATCCCCTGATCTCACGTCCTTCTTCCCAGTTAAGGTTGCAAACTTATCAGGTCAGGAATTCTCTTACTAGGTGTAGGTTTCAGAGTAGCAGCCTTGTTAGTCTGTATTCGCAAAAAGAAAAAGGAGTACTTGTGGCACCTTAGAGACTAACTAATTTATTTGAGCATAAGCTTTCGTGAGCTACAGCTTCAGGCTCACGAAAGCTTATGCTCAAATAAATTGGTTAGTCTCTAAGGTGCCACAAGTACTCCTTTTCTTCTTACTAGGTGTAGGGACAGCACCTAGGACAGTGGCACGCAGTAAGTGTGTTGGGGGTAGGGGAGGCTAGCTGGGGACCCCAGACACTACAGCAATACAAACAGATAAGGAATCCAAGACCGACCTCTTTATTCTCCCTTCCAGACAGTTGCACAGGGGATGCTCTCTAGTGTCAAAAGATTCCAACCAAGTGAACCAGTGTTGGTCCTTCAAGATTCCACCCACTGCAGGGCTTGAGTTGCCTTTTCCCACTGTATTTACTCTTAATGCCCTCCTCTCCCAATTTCCCCCCTCCAAGCCTCCAAAGACATCTGTGCGTGTAGTAACCCATGGTAGTCACTGTTGACAAGCTGCTACACAGAGAAAGAACATACTGGGACAGAGAACAGTTTGACTTGGATGACATCAGTTACCCAGGACCAAGCAGAGACCACCAAACTCTGTTCACTTGCGACCTAGTGCAGTTCCTATCTTACGTCTCCAAGTGGAGATGTTCATGAAAGCCAGGCAAGTTTTAACCTTCTAGTCATTACTGAGCTTTCTACCACAAAAACTGCAGCGCTGAAAACATTTAAAGTTCCTTTCTGCAACAGTCACTAAGAGCATACAGCAAAATGCAAGCCAGGCCCAAACTAAACATCTCTGGGTGCAACAATGGCAGGGGAAAATCAATCAGCTATCCCCAGAAAAATCTGAAATATACATTGTAAAATAATGCATTTATTCTACTAAACACAACATTCTGGGCTGCAGAGGGATTTATTTATTTTTTTAAATGGCTTTTTGAAAAGCGCACACATGATATAAATTTGAATCTTGTCTAAAACAGCAGAGATTGGTTAGCATGAAACTTGATAGAAAGTTGAGGAAGGTTATACCAAACAAGCTGACCCTTGTCTTACTTGTACAGATTTGAATTAAGTTATTCAGTATTCAGAGCCAGAAAGCTACAGTGGAAGTAAATAGCAATTTTGAATCTTACCCATACAGGTAGGGAAGGATGAGTAACTATATTAGCCATAACACATACAGGCCACCGTGTATAGTATGTTCACATACTGAATGTGTTGAATAATCTATTCGGGTGTTCACTCACCTGTTACATGGGCTGATTTTGAGCTGGCTTTCAACTCTCCTGTGATTTTGCAAGACGTCTCAAATTTTCTGGCTCAGGGTGAACTGCAGGCACAAGCAGATTTTAACACCAACTGATTTGTGACTGCAAATGTGTAGTACGACAGCAGTTGTTTGCACCAGAGATTCACTGTGGGCTCAAAAATGCATCCATAAAAAAAAACAAACCAAAAAACGCATCATTGAAAGTGAATCTCCTTTCCTCAATAGCACCCAAATGCAAATGCACAGTTTCACTTTCAGTGGAGTGCTCTCTGTTAAACAACTACATTTTGGTGGTCCCAGTAGCGGTCACTGCTGATGGGTTTCACTGCACACGAAAACATTCATTAAGGATGAAGTGGAAAGAAGACTAACAGTGTTTAGTGAAAGGAAAAAAAAATCAATTCTAGTAGAAAAATAATTTAATAAAGGGATAAGTTTCAAGAAAATATTTGTATAGTAACATTTTTTTTAAGCAAAAAGTCCACAAAAATATACGTGTAATGTGTTTATGCATAAGTTTTGCTGACATGCCCTGTTTTAATTTAGTTCAGTCCGTGTAGATTTTGATTCACAAGGCACCATCACTGCTATCAGACTTCCTGGGATATTTCAATTTTCACCAAAAAAAAAGTCAGACAGTTTTTCTAATCATTTCACATTAATACAAATACACTTTGGGTTGGCAACAGTCCACAAGGAGACCAGGTTACACTGGGGGGGGGGGGGGCGGGGGAGAAAAAAAACCCCACACCCCGACTTTTTAAAAAGGGTTAACCTATCTATTGAAAGAAATCAGTGCTAAACACTGAACCTGCAATACACACCACACTTTTACACTGTGACGTGGCCCCGAAATGAGAGGACCGGTGGGAGTGGGGGGAATAAATGCAGCGAAGTGGGAAGTAAACCCAACATGGATTTTAAATTGTGAAATTAGATCCCATTCTCTCTTAACTGAGGACAGTACAAGGTACAGAAGGGCATAACATAGATGATAATAAAACTAAACACGGGGGGGGGGAGGAGGGGAGGGAAGAAATTAGTGGGAAGACTTGATTCTGCAGTTTCCCAAATGAGTGCTTTGCTACCAGACTGCAGAGACAACAGCTCCTCCACAAAAAGCCCTCACTGATTGAACTAGTTCATCTAGCCTGCCCAGCAATTTGATGAATTCTTTTTTTTTTTTTTAAAGTGTGTGTGTGGGAGGGAAGGGAATAAAAGAGGGAAGGATAGGGATACCTGTTTCATCAAATGCAGTTCTATGCTGAGAAAGAAAAAAAGAAAAGCCCAGCCCATATAAAGCAAATTAAATATGTAATTACTAAAGAAATAAAAGACACACGCTTTCCAAAAGAATTTTTCATTTTTATAATCAAATTTTTTTTTACATAGACAGAAACACACCAATATTTTGTGTGAAAAATATCTTAAATAAACTTTGCTTGTTCTTGATTTTTTACATTCTGATATACATATGTAACAAGGTTTATGGCACTGTAACCAGAATCAAAGGAAACGAATAAAAAGGAAAATATAATTGCTTTTGTTTATTCCTTCTAAATCAAGCTGGCTGCTGTCACACTTTAAAAATTATTTTTGTATTATTATTATTATTGGGCAGTCAGCTGTAATCAGTTTGCACACTCAAAATAAACCCCCAAATTATTATTATTATTGCACAAGAAGCCAGTGAAGGCATATGGCATAGAATGGTCAAAGTCCCTTGCTGTTAAAACCTCTTTACACCCAAAAATAGAAAAATAGAACCAGAACATGAAACACACCAAATAAATGTTGTTGTTTTTTTCTTTCATTTCTATCAGGAGTGTGAAAAGTTCTAAGCTGCTCGGATTTCCTTTGCACCAGTGAGCATTTTGCTTTATCTTTAGCAAAGCCTTTGCAGAATCAAGGCCCATATGCTTCAGAAAGAATCTTTTCTGCTTTGTTTTGGCTGTTTGCATGTTGTTTTAAACATCGTTTTCTTCGGTCTATGAACCTGCACAGACTACTTAGCCATAAACTCTACAAGTGGCTAAAAATAATAATAATAAAATAAACAAAGAAGCACAGGTTTTTTTCCCCCTGTTGTGTTGCTTTTAAAAATTATGTATTTTGTTTGGAAGCCTCCCCGCTTTGTCAGTTTCTAGGAAGGGAATCTCAGTGGCATTTCAAACGTAGTGAAGTTCTTGGATTTGTTTTAAAAACCTTTCCTCACCAAAAAAAGGTTTTTTGTCACCAAGTTTGAGAGGAAAAAAAAAAAAAAAAAGCACAACCCTTCCCCTCCCCCCCATATCAAGTGAAGAATACGATAATCCCTTTATTTTATGGCACCTCTTAGCTTCACTGTCACACAACAGTCTCCACCCCAATCAGCTTTGGTGTGAGAATTCGTGGGGTAACACCTTTATTTAGATCTTCTTCAAACTCCAGTAACTGCCCCATAAAGTTAAGATTAGGAGAAATGATGGGTCGTTTGCCTTTGACAAATTTATAGGCATCTGTCATGGTCATCCGCGTGTGCTTCATTAAGTAAGCGATGACGATGGTGGCAGAGCGCGACACACCGGCTTGACAGTGAATAAGGAGGCCTTTTCCACACTGGTGAGCTTCCTCTGGAAACAGAAACAAAAGACAGAGGTAACACTTGTTGCTGGAAAGAAGGGCAGGGCGGGATTTTGTTTTTAAATTAAAATCAGATAATCTCAATGCAATTTCCAATTAATTGGAAGGAAACTGTCAGTGAAAACCCCCTCACTTAGGTTACAAACACAGCAAGATAATTAAAAAAAAAAAAGTGGAAAATCAATTGGACTGTTAAAAAAAAAATCCTTTACTTGAGCCAAAATGCAGCAGAAAGTAGCCAGTTTCAGATTTAGTTAAATCCCATTTATCTCATCTCAATTGCTCTTACATGAGCACAATATTGCAATGGTTGTGTTGCAAGCACTGCAGGGGAATACTTGTTTAGGAATAGCGTGATCTTTTGTCAAGGCACAGGACTAGGAAGCAGGAGAGTTGAGTTCTACTCCCTTTCAAGCATAAATATTCTACAATAATTTTGGGCATGTGATTTATCCCCATTTAAATGAGGAGGAAATTCAGTCCAGAGGTTAATACCACCTCCCATAAGGGTGTTATAAAGCTCAGTCACTACTCATTGTAAGATACTTGGAAACATTCTACTCTTGGAACGATTTCCACTGATCTGCACTTTGGATGAACTTTAGCCTGACATTCTTTCACAATGTCTTTGCAAAAGCAGCAAGTATTATACCCATATTGCAAAAGAGAAAGCTGTAGAGAAGTTAAATAATGTGCCCTGGGCACTCAGCAAGTCTGGCAGAGTTGGGAAAAGAACCCAGAAATTCTGACTCCCACTTCCTTCCTGTATATGAAAAGAGGAAAGAGTGGTATGCTCCAACTTCCCCTCTGCTCCCAGCCCAGTTTTAATCACCTTTAGCAGTGTGAAGAAAGGTGGTTATGACAAATCCTATACCCAATCTGAGCACAACTCTAAGCATTAACTTGTGTCCCTTGATAAAAGCTCAACAACAACGTGGGCAGGGTTTGGGGAAAAGGGTATCTCCAGGAATTGTACCTCAGCAGTATCTGGAAAAATAAATTACAACACCAATCGTTTCCCCCCCACACCCCCAACCCATGAACATTTTTAGAATGACAGATCCCTAAAGCAAAAGCAAGGGAACCTTAAAGGATGCTCCTAACACTAGGCAGGTTGTATTTTGCACAAAAATCCACAAACCATGTTCCATGCTCTTCACATGGGTCAGAGCAAAAGGAAACAACAGCTAACAAGTGTGGATAAAGGAACACATTAGATCAAGAACAGGTCTATTCTGACAGTATAAATTTGGCTAAGTTCCTCCAGGATATTTTTGCCAGTTAGCATTTGAGGAAGTAAAAGCTGGAGTTTTGTAACTGCATGAACTTTCGGTGTCTCTTTCCAGCAAGATTCTGCCTTCACATTCTATGACTTCAGTCTTCAAAACCCCAGATGGATTGATTTATTTTAAAAAACACACAGTTTATGATGTTTCCAGATCTTTTCAAATGCAATTTAAATTTCCCCCAAGGCAAGAAAAAGAAAAAAAGCTTTGACAGGTTACTTAACAGCAAATGTAGCCAACTGATAAGATATAGCTGTTTATTAAACACACAAGCAGGCCCTCAAACTGCAGCTATTAAAAAGGAAAGTAAAACCGATTTAGGAAACACATATTTTCTAGCCTGGCCTGTGAGAGGCCTTCTTGTAGTTTCCTCTGCACTCGGATCAGGTAGTAGACCATGCATTATTTATGAATGGTTTCAATGGGATCTAATCCTGCAGTTCTTATGAATACTGAATAGAGAACCTTTTCTTCTCAAGAATGGTTGCAAAATTTAGTAATGTTTTAATGTAAGCCAGGCCTTACTGCATCTTCCTGTTCTCATGAATTAGAAGTTTAGGGTTTGCCTGAGTTCATGACCCAGCTTCTCTTTTTTACTCGATATAAAAGACGACTTCCTCCCTGCCTTGTGTTCACCTCCTCACCTTCTCCAGAGAGGCCATTTTAACTTTTCCACTCCTGCTGTAATCCAGGTTTAGTGAAACTAATTTAGTACAAACTGGAGCATATAGGAGCGTAATTGGTTACATATGACCAATTACAGATTATTGCTGTGCAGGCAAGTAGATGGCTACACTTCAATATCCTCAAATCACAACACTACTGCTTCCCCGCTGGAGCTGGTTATGGGGCAGCAACTGTAGGAAGCATTTGGCAAATAAACCAGTGAAATGTGGTCGAACAGCAATCCTGAGCACTTCTAGTGAGAGATCTCATGAAACTTTTAATAAGAGCCAAGATGTTAACCTTAGCGTCTCCCAGCTGAATCCCAACACAGTTATAATTACCTTCTGTCTACTTATTTATATGAATAGTCACAATGATGTAACCATTACTTTAACCTCTGAGGATAGGACAAGAAGCAATGGCCTTAAATTGAAGCAAGGGAGGTTTAGGTTGGACATTAGGAAAAACTTCCTGTCAGGGTGGTTAAGCACTGGAATAAATTGCCCAGGGAGGTTGTGGAATCTCCATCATTGTCTAACCTGCTCTTAAAAATCTCCAAACACCTGTCAGGGATGGTCTAGATAATACTTAGCCCTACCCTGAGTGCAGGGAATTGGACTAGATGACCTCTCAAGTTCCCTTCTAGTTCTATGAGACTCTGGTGCATTGACACAATTAAACAATTAAAAAAAAATACAGCTAGACTGGGCAGAGAGTCTGAGACATTCTCCACACACACTCTCCAAGCTGACACTACTCTTAGCACTGCCATGAAGAAAAGCAACATTAGATAGTTTCAGTAGAATGTGCTATTCTAAGGGCTTGTCTACATGGCCCCGCAGCACACACGACAGGGTACGAGTTGCAGCCTGCACTACAGTGTTGCGTTGTAACGGTCCCGTGTAGACCCTGCTCGTGGGAACTAAAAGGTACCTAGTTTGTGTTAACGTAGACCCGTTTCAAACAGGACTCTACAGTACGTTAACTCAAACTAGGTACCTTTTAGTTCGCACGAGCAGGGTCTACACAGGACCATTACAATGCAACACACATGCCTATAGTCTGCACTGTAGGGCCATGCAGACAAGCCCTTAGTTTCCTGCATTAGACCCCAATCCTGAAATTGGATCCACTAGTTCCAACTCTGGCACAGTCCTAACGGAGGCAACAGGGACCTGGATGTCAGAGGTGCTGAGTGCCCAACTCCAATTCAAGTCAATTGAAGCTATGGATATTCATCTCTTCTGAAACTCACAAGCAGAGGGGGGTGAGCTAGCAGATCCAACGGTGGGACTGGGAACGTCAACTATAACACAATGCTGCTGCATGCTCCTAAAGGATATGTCTTCATTCACTGCATATTGAGCCCAGGTGACTGGCACGTGGATTAGCCTAGCCCAGGTGCAAGCATCCTACCTGAAAAGCCCTACCGCAGTCACTGTATGCTCACTGGTGCTACGCTCCCTCCTGTGTCACACCTGGGCTTCTGCAGGCATATCCCATGGCTCTTTGTGCTACAGTAAGCAGAGTCATTCTAGGATTCTTTACCAGTGAATTGCAGGTGAATTGGGCTGTCCTAGGCACATGTGAAGGAATTGTGGGTGGGGACTGGAAGATTATCAGCCTTGAAGGGATTGAGCCTGTTTCCTGACCACAAAATGGGTGGGCCTTTGGGTACATTTACTGGCCTTAGGGTGCATTTACATTGCAGTTGGGAGCATGCTTCTCAGCTCCATTAGACGGACATGACCTAGCTCTACTCAAGCTAGTACAGTATAAATAGGAATGTCGCTTGTGGTAGCCTGGGCTATCTGCTGGGAGTAAAAACCTGCCCAGACCCTCTGGGTACATACTCAAGCAGCTAGCAACACTGTTATTTCTAGCATGCTAACTCAAGAAGAGCTAGCAAGTCTCTGTCTACCTGAGCTAAGCAGCACACCCACAGCAGCATGGGCAGACTTACCCTTCCTGAAAGCAGCACTTGGGATCTAACCTCTACCCACAGGCTACAAAAGTGCTGTGAAGCTGAATGAGCATTGGTAAAGCACTTGGAGCAAGTCTGCCATGATAGGGAGGTTGAGGACAGAGACTTTTTTTAAGAAGGGAAAAAGGGAAAGGAAAGGGACATCTTTTTATCACGGAGAGACAACAGACCAGGAGCAAGATTTTTAATGGGACGGAGCAGAAAAGTGGTAAATATTTGCCTTTAAAACAAAAAATATGGACTGGTCATCCTAAGTGATTACACCTAGCAAGCATGCTTTGAAGGAAGACTGTATAAAAGAGTATTAATTTTTCATGGTTTAGGCAGCAATAGAAATAATAGAAGAAAAACCTTAGTGAATTACTTTGAACAGACGACTTCAAGATTGTACCTATGGTTAGGTTAAAGTGATTAACTGCTTAAAAATACCATTCATTCCTAACGCATATGGGCCTCAAACGAACAAACTTATCATTGCAGGGCTCCAAAACACTACTGCAAAGTGTAGTATCTTCAATCATTTTTAAGTGGAGGGGACAGGGCACTAAGTAGAGAGAAAATGGAGCTACTCTGTCTACCCTCCCAGTCAGCACTGAGTCAGGTTGGCACGACAGTATATTTGGAAAGCTTACACCAGCACCGCAATGTTGCCACCTTTTAAGTCTGCATCATCACAAGTCTTGATATGTTTAATGCCTCTCCTCCTGGAGTTACAGGATTAGAAAGACTCTCAGGTTTTTAAAAAGGGGGTAAGCCTCTAGCCCTCCTGGTTATTGAGAAAAGCTGGAAAATGTGACCACGCTAAAGACCTTTATTTTTTAAAATAAAGTCTCATGATTTTTGGAGGCACGGCTCATTAATTTTGAACACTTGGGGTTTGGCAGTATTGCCACTGTGTATGTATAAAGAGGACTTGAGGTCTGACTTTAATAAGAGGTGCCACAATTCTGAAGTCAATGGGCTCTGCATTTCTCACAAAAACAAATCCGGTCTTAACAAGCTTTCTGAGCTGTCAGAGTAGCACTAAGTTCATTCAAGGTTTTCAGACAGGTATCAAGGGTTATAACAAGAGTAATTGCCAGGCAAGGATAGTTACCAATGAATTCAAAAGCCTCTTCGAAGTACTGCCTCAGATTCTGCTTGTTGCTGTCAGTGGCAGGGAGCCGCTTGTAGTTGAACAAGCCTTTCTCATAATGGTAGAGGGGGAGGTGGGTGGTCACGTTGATTATGTATCCTACGTTCATCCTCTGCATCTTCTCCAAGTCCTGAGCATCATGCTCATTTCCAAGGAAGAGGAACGGCAAGATGGGGGTCAGCTCGGCATTCTCTATGTCCGGAGTGGTGGGGATGGACTGAGGTAGTGTGGCCGGCACCGCAGATGCACCTCCTCCGCCTTCTGGGCACTCCTGAAGTTGGAGGGAGTTATCACAGAGGTTTTCGTGGTTCTGTTTAAAACTGCTGAGTCCACCTGAGAGAGAGAGTGTAAGGGCAGAGATTTCAGCTGGAGATTTATGAGGAATCTACCGCTCACATGAGAGAACTACTCACATACGTACATTTCTTCAACTCTGCACTATGCCTGAGGGTTTGCTTCCTCAGAGCAGGTTTTCAGCACACAGTGGTAAAAGTGCCTGATCCCCATTTACGCCATTGCTTACGTTTTTGCTACCACCATTGCAGCTGTACCATTGGTAACAGCTGCTGCAATACATCCCAAACATGATTTATTTTTATTTTTTAGTATAGACAAGATATATCAGGGAAGAAGTTGACAGTCAAACGTGTTTCCATGCAACACATCAGTACACAGTTGCACCCCATATGGCTGGGGCTTCTAATTTTGTGGGGTGAGAGAAAGTAGTTATCTGAACAAAGCTGTACAACAAGTTGAATCACTTTGCTTTAAATTGTAGGGTGGGAGGGTTAAACATTTGAACTAGAATATACAAGTCTTAACTTTATCTGTTAAAGTTCTTCACTGATCTGTGCAGCAGAGATAGCCCGGCACAGCATAACATTTTCATGAGGAAAAATGTCAACAAATGGAGGGAAACATAATCCATTAATACTTCATACCAGGCAATAGAGTAGCGAAGTTTTGTTTTTTTAAAAAGACTGTATTCCTCATAAAAATGATCACAGTCGAGGAGCTCACTTAACATGTGGCAAACAGCAGCCCCACTTTTTCTGCCTAGAGTAGCTGCAAATATGCAACAACATTTATTATTTTTAGGACATTAATAACTGTGAGGAAGTGGACCACGGGAAAACCAGTTTAAGTTACACTTCCCCTGTGTATCCTATTATACTGTGGGATTTTAAAGCAGCATTTTCTTTTCAAGTGGGTGGCACCACAAAACACTAGATGAAAAGCAGAATCGTTTTTAAAATTCTTTCTACACCTCATTCCACGATGACATCAGCTCCAGGCTCCCCACCTGCCTGGTTTCCATAGCAATTACACAAAGACATACAATGACATCAGTTGGCATGACATTAGCTCTTTGAGTGCAAACAATACTAGAAGAACTACTTTGTTTAAGACCTTTGGTACAACTGTGTTCTTGGGAGTCAATGATGTAATGCTAACAGGTGGCTTGGGACCGCCTTTGCCTCACTGGAGGGGGGAGAGGGGAGGAAGACAAAAAGGAGATATGTCTACAGAAGGGATATCTTTGTAAGATTATGTGTTTAATGTTTTACTGAGGCCATATGGAGTACCATGCAGCCAATATTTTGAAACCGTCAAAATGTATGGATTCAAATGCACGTAGTTAAATCTAAGCCAAAAAAAAAAAAATCGGGAGAAAGATATAAAAAGCTTACCAGAAAGAGCTGCACTGACCAAAATAAATGCTTAAGAGTTATCATCTTGCTAACTTTATTAAGCTTAAAAAGAAGAAAGTATGTGGCTGCTTAATACACATAAAATACTTTGGTAATTTGCTGCTAGGAGAAGATTTTAAAAATATGGAAACCTAAACATACTATCATATTGACAGGCTTTGTTCTTCATTTGCTGATAAGTTTCTTATTTTGTCTAGGACCCCCAACAGAGTTAGCAAGCTGTAATACACTTCTCCTACCCCTAAGCCCCCCCCCAACTCACACATTATCTTCAGGGATATTAAACACTTCTCTCAACAGTTCCAGGACAAAACAAATGTGCAAAGCAAACCTCAGATAAGATCTCTGCTCAGGAGGTTATTTGAAAGGGGAAGTGGATGAAGGAAAGGGGGGGGGGGATAAGGGGGGGAATGCAAACGTGGTTTAAACTGTCCAGTGAAGAGAGAGAGCTTTAAGGAATTGTGGCTCAAACACATTTTTTACTGTTCTGATAAAGGAACATGGATTTTTAAAAGTAAAAGGTAAAGATGGACCAGATATCAGAAACATTCTCTAAATGACTTTCAATTTCAGAAGAGATTGGGAGTGAGGGTTAAGCAAGAGGGTTAAGTGTTTGAATCCATATACCTGGATCCAAACTCACTCCCAAGATTTTGGCTCTGATAAGATCCAAAATCCTCAGTCCGCACAAGAGAACAGCTCTTTTTGAGCTACTTTGGCTCAAGATGGTAACGTCTCATGAGTAGGACCCTACCAAATTCAGTCAATTTTGGTCAATTTCAGCCATAGGATTTTTAAAATAGTCAATTTCATGTTTTGAGATGTTTACATCTAGAAATTTCACAATATTGTCACTGTGGGGGTCCTGACCCCAAAAGGGGGTTGTCATGGGATTGCCAGCCTCATTTCTGCTCTGAAGGCAGCAGCTGCAGAGCCTCCTGCACCCAGGGGAGATTCCTGGAGATGGGTCTGATCTCCACCACCAAGAGCAGCTCTGCAGGGGAAGAGGAAGTCCCATCCCTCCCCAGCCCAGCTGGGACTAGCAACTTGAGCCCAGTGCATAGCAGAGCCCCCTGCTGGTGTACCCCCAGCCCTCCCCCCACCCCTCCCCTCCCTTACAAATAGCTAGCTTTTATGGGGGAGATCCAATTTCACGGTCCACAACATGTTTTTCACAGCCATGAATTTGGTAGGGCCTTACTCCTGTGATAGCTCTCAAAAGGACACCTCCATCAAACTGTAACCCCATCCTGATGCAGCCTTTAATGTAGCCTAAAACCAAATGCGAATTCTGGTCACCTCAGCGCCTCGAATTTGGAGGCTGCTTTACACAGTATGGACGAGTAATTACATTCTAAATATTGTTTTATGTTGCAGTAGCAACCAAAATGTGCTAACACTCTCCAAACACTGCCCCGCCCCAAAGAACATGCATTCTCAACAACGCTGCCAGACTCCCCACACCTTTGCATGTGGCATTCCCTATCCCCCACCCCCATTTAATTGCAATGGAAGAGGGGTGGGAGTAAGAAGCCTAGCCTCTTCGTCTGTTAGAAGCAGGGATGTTTGTGGGGGTGGAGGAGGTTAGGGTAATGGCAGAGCAGGCCGGTGAGACCTGGGGGGAGAAGGGGAAAAAAAAAAAAAAAAAGAGGACTGGAGAGTCCAGAGCAGCCTCCCCCTCCCGCCCCTGCCACCTCACCCATCCTGTCGCCCAGTCTCTGTTCCCTCCTTCTTGGCTCCTTGCCTCCCTCGGTGGAGGGAGACACCAAACCACCCAACTGCAGCAACCACCCCCTCCTCCTCAGCACTTCTTGCCAGTTTGAAAGGAGCAGGTGGAAGCAGAGAGTGAGAGACAATATGAATGTCTGAAATTCCTCTGCAAGAGCAGCACCTGATGGCTAGGAGCAGAAACTGCAGGGCAACCCCCAGACAAACATTCCAACAAGGCTGCCAGGCAGTGGGGTAGGGCTGCTGGATAGACCAATGGCATCCAAGAAGCTTGAAGCTTATTATCTCTTCCAGCAGGGGAAAGAGAAACATAACATACAAACAAAATGACAGTAGCCACCTCACTGATTAGGTGCATGTTTCCTCCTTGGCTGGCTTTGGGGGGGGGGGGGGGGGGGGGTTAAAGAAATTATCCAAGCACAATAGCTATCCAAAGCACATTTCCGAGTGCACTTTCCCCAAGCATATGCAGCACTGAATGCAGTGTGCACATTAATAGACATTTTTAAAATATGCACACTTGGAGACAGGAACAAAGAGGCAGTAGATGATAATGCAAATGCTTATGAACCATGCAGTGAGGTGAATTGAGAGAAGAGAGGAGGGAATTTGACATGAGATTAGTTAGGCTCTCTTTACTAGAGACATTAACTTTGCAGTGCCCACATCAGACACCCTAACAAGCACCCTAACAAGCATTTTAGGGAGAAGCAGTTAAAGAGAAGGCTCCCCTTCATAAAAGTAAAGGTAACTCGATAGATTTTCTATAAAATGAATTTACAATCTCTTACTATGTTTTTCTACAGCACTTAGCACAAGGAGGCCATGATCCAAGTGGGTTGTTTGGCACTACATGTAATTTAAACATGTACTTTGTGAATACATCAGAATGCAATTTATTCCACTCGCTTGCTGGAATAATAAAATATATGTATCACAAATGAATTTCCTGAGGTCCAGAGTCAAGATGGGGTCCCCATCTGCCTGTGTGTACGTATAACCACTAGAGCTTTTAGTGGATTAGTATTCCTTCAGAGGATGGCTGTTATCCCAGAATTTAAAGTCTATGCTCATGGGAGAGAAGGAAAAAAATATATATACACAACCACAACCCCAAGAAAAGGAAAGGTCAATACTGACCTACAGCAGGTCTGTCTAGACTGGATGTTCCAAACTTAGTGGTGACAAGGACTTCACCATGTCACTCCTATCAGGGAAAGACCTTAAGGAAACTTGGATGGTGGGAGGGAGGGACATTCCAAAGGCTCACTTTTTTAGCTGTAGGAGGATCTATGGGTGACACTAATGTGTTCTGTTACACTGTACTTCCAAACTTCCCAGGTCATGGCACAAGAATGAGAAGTGCCCTGAAGAGGGAGGTGAAGGTTGAGAAGAATCACAAAAGGAAATGCATCATTATACAAAAAGTAAGCTGCACATTAAAAGAAAGTTTAAAACAGCTAATAGTAGCATTATACAACATACACAAGTCCAGATGCGCAATCCTCAACTATAAGAACAAAAACAAAACAGGTTTGTTGGCATGGGAGTCCATTTCTGAGGCACCGCTGAAGAGATAGCTATAAAGATCTAGAGACTGTAGATCTAGAGTACCTTGTTCCATGAGAGGTCTGATTGAAGTCAGTGAAATATTCTGGTAGAAAACACACACACCTATAAGAGCAACTATGGCCCATTTTGATAAGACTGTAGATCTCCTAGGCTGAGTATTATGTAGCTGCAAACACCATGTTGCAGATTGTATCCACTTACCTGCCTGTGATGAAAAGCGTAACTTCAGCCTATTGCAGTCAGATGCTACATTGCAAGCATTTATGCAGAGATAAGGATGAAACTGCTTGCACTTTCACCCTAAAGTGGCCGACGAGCAGA